CTCTGTCATGTCTCACTCTGTCACCCAGGCTGGAATGCAGTGGCAGGATCATAGCTCAGTGCAACCTTGAACTCCTGGGCTCCAGAGATCCTCTCACCTCAGCCTCCTGAGCAGCTGGGACTATAGGTGTGCTCCACCATGCCTGGCTACTTTTTAAACTTTTTGTAGATATGGGGTCTTGCCATGCCCAGGCTGGTTTTGTAATCCTGGCCTCAAGCAATCCTACCACTTCAGCCTCTGAACGTGCTGCTATTACAGACATGAGCCACTGCGCCCAGCCAAAGCATATAGAATTTCGCAATAATTATTCAGATCATTCAGAAGGTCTCATTTGGATGAGAAAATTCAACTTTAGTCTGCCTGTGAAATGAGTGGAAAATAGGTGTTGTAAAGAACTTAAATTATGAATTATGTGCTGCCATTCCTGAGAAGAAGCATGGGGTCCTGGGGAAATGGAGTAGATGAGGAAGTAGTCTAACATCTATGCCAAGGATTGTAATTTTGACCCTTTGAAAACATTTACAGGTCAGTGTCTAGAGCTAGAAGGGACCTTTGAGTTCATGTAGTCTCACTCTTCTCAGGGAGGGAGAGAGGGAGAGAGGGAGAGGGGATGCAAACCTGTGTTAGGGTTTTTTCTCATGGTGAGGAAGATGAAGCACAACTGGATCTAAACAAGTCTTAGTCACAAGAGACTGATCAAGCTTTTTGGTCACAGGGATACAGTAATACTCCAAGCACTTCAGAATTTACCTCAGCATTTTGCCATGTATTATTTTATTGAATCTTCATAGGAATCTGTGAGGTAGACGAAAACATCTTTTCATAGTCGAGGAAGTTTGGAATGGGGTTTGTGTGAGGAGATGTAGGTTTATAAATTTGTTTTGCTTAACTAAAAACAGTATGAACATTGACTTAATACTGACACTAATCATTTCGACAAAGATTTGAGTGACTACTGTGATGGTGATAATACTAGGCAAGCAGATATGGGGTATTCAAAGATGAGTAAGACCTTGTCCCTCCCCGTAAAGAACTTTCACCTACTAGCTTTCAAACATCTTTATGGCATACTTTGTTTCTCTTTTATAAAAAAGAGGTTGTTTTAGGATAAAGATGCAAAAGATGGCTTGGCTTATTGGACCAATCCTCTGATTTCATGGAGATCTGTTTTTACATGAATGTGAGTGACCTCCATTCACGTCTCAGCTTGACCAACACTTCCTCAGCAAATCCTTTGAATTCCCCGGGCTAGATCAGTTTCCCCCTATTACACGTTCTCATAGCATCCTGTATTTTGCATTCCTAGCACTTTTCTCAATTTGTAATTCTACGTGTAATAATCCGTCTTCTATAAACAAAGCTCCCTTACACTAGGAACAGTGTCTTTCCTGCTCTTTATATCTTCCCGGTGCAATGTCCAGCATAGAATTAGGCCCTTACTGTGTATCTGTTGAGTGAGTGATTGAATAAAGCCATGTCTGTCTATGCCATACTTTAAAAAGATCTTTAGAAGCTGAAAAACTTATTCAATTTTGGGCCCAAAAGTAACTTGGGTATTTTTTAGTAGCTCACATCTTTTTAAGGACATTTAAAAATTGTTAGTAGGTAACAAATTTACTTTTCTTAAAATTGGAAAGTAGTATAGCAAGAGACAATGAAATAATGTAAACAGATGGCACAGATTACTTTTAATATACTCTTTCAAGCTATGTTATCTTTGAGACCCGTGTACTAACAAACAACTTCTTAAAAATGTACTCAAAATTACTTAACATTCAAGCCAAAGAACCTTACTCTGCCACCTCCCCCCATCTTAGGATTCCAGGCCACAAATGTACTGCCCAGAGAAGTTATTGAAGCAATTCCTATGATAGGTGGGAAACATATTTAGATGGTTCTTAGGACTTTTCAACTCTGAAGATTGTGTTATTCTTTGCTCAGTTTT